ACAGTTGTATGAATTCCTGTTCTAAACTGACTTCCCCATTCTTAATCCTTTTGTACCGAGCTCTCTTTCTACCTATAAGGTTCGTCAGATCCTTTGTTATCCATTTTGGGTCATTAGTAATCGAGCCATTCAATTTGTATGGTATACTGTAGACACTATTATCCAGGATTCGAACATCCGGAAAACACCTTTATACGGCTAAAATCGTGACCGGATCAAGTTCTCGATATCCGGCCAAAATGGCCCATGAGAGCCGGATAAAAAATCGGAGCCGGTTAACTTGCTGCCGATGTTACACTATCCGGACAGTCAGCCGGATAATCATTGAATTGTCCGGATATGAAAGCCATGGGGCGGGCCGTACCGTATTAATCCCGTCTGGCTGTGGCTCGAGGCGCATGGTGGAGAAGGGAGCGGGGTGGGTTGGTGGTGTTGGGAGAGAGTGGAGCGTTGGGAGGGACCATCAGGGGGGATAAAGGGGGATGTGGAGGGGCCTATACACTACAGTACATGAATTACCATTAAATTTACAACAATTCATCATAACCAAAAACAAAAGAAATACTAGTAATTATGTAGTAACAAATATACAAGTTTCCTAAAAACAATCTGCACAGGCTGAAGTTTCCTTCAAAAATATTGAAGTTTTTTTTCCTCCTGGCAGCCTACATAATGTGTTATAGCTGCCCCAAGTGGACCCGTCCAATCCTGGTCAACCCATGTGCTCCTGTCCCTCGTGTTATACCACATTGCCATGCCATTAGTGAACTATTTTTTTAATAACTTTATTTTCATAGTAATTGAAAATTTTTGGCCAAGACTTTGTCTGGTAGCAGCATCAATCGTTCTGGAGGTGTTAAGAGGAATAAGGTTGTCCTAACAAAGACAAGTTACGTGTTATACAACTTTGTGAAAATGGCCGGTCGAGTTCAAGTGAAGTGAAGCCTGAGGCGAACTAAAGAACTGATCATACAACAGGCCAATGAACACAAAAGGCAAGCTAAACTTGATTCTTATATGGTAAGAAAATCAAGCCAAGCGCCTTCAACCAGTGAGGCGTCACATACAAGCCAAGCACCTTCAACCAGTGAGGTTTCAGCAGCTGGCAGTCAAAACTAACTTTGTTTAAATGAACTGTATAGTAATTTTAAGTGTTAATTTTAGTGTTGTGTTAGTATAGGTTACATAAATTGTAAAGAATTCTTACTTCAGGATGTATGGCATCAATCAAGAAGACGAACAACAACAAAGTAAGTTGAGGTTTCTAGTTGAATATTTAATAATTATATGTGGCAAGGCAATTCAAATTATGTTGTTTGTAGTATAAAAATAGTTGGATATGGTCACTTTTGGACTCAAGAGGTGAAAAAGTACCATTATCTGGAACACGTGATTATCCGGCTGGGGGTCCTTCCCATATAATCCAGATAATCGAGTGGAGACATACTACATTCCTGTACTTTGCTTAGAATATTTTTAAATAAGTTGTATTTTGAATCTATATTGAAATCCCTTTTTATGTTACCTATCTCAGGGTTCACGTCTCGCTCCAAGACCGGCCCACCCCCTAATGCCCAAGACTTTCCAATCTATTTGACCCAAAAATTTCTTAGGCTTCTAAGAAATCAGCTTTTCAAAAATCTGGCACTTTAACAGAATTTTCTCCTACAGATCTATTACATTCTATTTATTTAGCACGCAATGTTTTTTTCTTAGCAATTACAGTGCATATCATTGACAAATTTGTTGTCCTGCCTAGCTAGTTCAACAACCCGTGTACAGTTTTCATGTTTACGAATGATTTCTTGTTTTTCCTTTATGGTCATCCTCACATGTTTTCTTAGGGTGAACCTTAACCATTGACTTTCTTGGTACCCAAGGCGTGATATATAATAATTACTTTTATATTCAAGCCCCAAAAATGACGAAAAACAATGAAAGTCTTTACGAAGAATTCAAGCACAATAGTCACTAAGCGGGCGGCAGTGGTAAACCGAAGAGCGGTTGACCTTGCCACCAGGAACCACGCACTAGGTCGCCTATACGCGTATCAACAAACTATGTTTCTCGAGGCAAAACTCGTAACCCCGATTCAAATTTCACAAAGAAATTGGGCTCATAACCTGAAAAGTCCAAAATAGGGGCATTCGTAAGCCGAGGTGTCGCTGTATTTGCTTGCACTAGAGTGCTTCGAAGTCATACGTAAAACTTTGCCTGCCTCCACTCTTCGTGTGATTTCAGTAGAAATCCAGTTGTATGACTTTTCCAAGTCAGTGGTGGTAGCGTATGATGTTGACAATGCTTTGGTCATGGATTTGCATCACCACAGAATCCCAGTGGATTTTCTCACTGATATACATGATGTTAGTGTGATTTTCTGTGTGTATTAATATATATTATTATAATACTAAAATTAAAAACCACCAGTGTCCAGAGTATGGGAAGAGGTTCAGTCAGCTTTCATATATGAAGAGGCACCACTTTAATACCGTTTAATAATATTTCAAATAACTGCAAAGATACATATGATTTATTAATGGTTTCCTATAGTCAAAAGGCAACGTAAAGGATCTGGGTGTACTCATGTCGGAAGACCTTGCCTTTAAAGAAACAATAAAGTAGCCGTCACAACTGCAAGAAAAATGAAAGGTTGGATAACAAGACCTTTTCACACTAGAGATGCTATACCGATGATGACACTTTTCAAAACACTTGTGCTCTCTAGAGTGGAGTACTGCTGCACAATGACAGCCCCTTTCAAAGCTGGAGAAATTGCCGACCTGGAGAGCGTGCAGAGATCCTTTACTGCTAGAATCCACTCGGTAAAAATCTAAACTATTGGGACCGACTAAAGAGCCTAAATCTGTATTCCCTTGAGCGCAGGCGGGAGAGATACATAATAATTTACACGTGGAAAATATTAGAGGGGCTGGTCCCAAACCTGCACACAGAAATAACATCACATGAGACCAGAAGACATGGCAGGATGTGCAGAATACCCACATTGAAAAGCGGAGGTGCAACAGGTACTCAGAGAGAACTCTATCAACATCAGAGGCCCGAGACTGTTCAACACGCTTCTGCTACACATAAGGGGCATAACTGGCAATCCCCTCACAGTGTTCAAGAGAGAACTGGATAAGCACCTCCAAAGGATACCTGATCAACCAGGCTGTGACTCATACGTCAGGCTGCGAGCAACCGCGTCCAACAGCCTGGTTGATCAGTCCAGCAACCAGGAGGCCTGGTCGACGACCAGGCCGCGGGGACGCTAAGCCCCGGAAGCACCTCAAGGTAGTCTAGTTAGTTTATAACAAATGGATATTTGAGTTTAACCCAAGAAATGTAAAGGAATGAAGAAAGATATAGGAAGCAGGAAGCCAGATACACAGTATCATTTGGGAGATGAAATCCTTCAAGAAGCCAACCCATCCTCTTACAAATTACGTCTCTTCGCTCGTATGCCCTATAGCCAAATATCGACGTAATTCAATATGGAAATTTATTTTACTATTAAATTTTTTAATTTTGTTTTCTAACAGCAAGTTAAGGGTCCTCTGGTATGTTAGAAGGGCGGGAAGCTCTCGTAAAGCTTCAAAACGTCATGGAAACTGTTAATTGAAAGTTCTCTCTCCTAACCTAACAGCCTAAGCTAGAGGACCCAAAACAGAAAACGGAACCATACGTCACTTCCGTGAGCTGATTTCATTTTAAATTACAACAATTTTCAGCCTGAGTGCACACACAAGCAAAAAGTGACATTTTTAAGAGGACAAGTTGAAGAAACAGGGGAGGGAGAAAGACCTAGGGTTGATATCAGGCCAGACTTACCCCCTGAAGCGCACATTAAGAGGATATCATAAGTGGTTAGTCAACATAAGAACTGCTTTTAAAAACTTGTGTATGGAATCAGTGAAAATTGTATACCAAATATGTCAGGCCAGTCCTTGAATATGCACTCCAGTGTGAAGTCTGTATCTAGTCAAGCCCAAGACTAAATTTAAAAAAGTTCCAAGAAATGCCACTAAACTAGTACCCAACTAGGGTAGTACCTAGTACCCAGTACTAGGGGAGCCATTCAGCCGAGCGGACAGCACGCTGGACTTGTGATCCTGTGGTCCCGGGGTCGATCCCGGGCACCGGTGAGAAACAATGGGCAGTTTCTTTCACCCTATGCCCCTAGAAGTAAAATAGGTACCTGGGTGTTAGTCAGCTGTCACGGGCTGCTTCCTGGGGGGTGGAGGCCTGGTCGAGGACTGGGCCACGGGGACACCAAAAGCCCCAAAATCATCTCAAGATAACCTCAAGATAACCCAAGCTGAGGATTATGAGGTGAGACTATGGGAACTAAACCTCAAACCACTGGAAGAAACACGAGTTAGGTGAGACATGATCACAAGATACTCAGAGGAACTAGTAAGGTAGATAAAAAGTTTATTTAACAAAGGTGGTACACACAGGTGGAAACTAAGTGCCAAAATGAGCCATAAGACATTAAGAAGAGCTATTTTTGAGTCAGTAAATAACAATGGAATGCACTAGGCAGTGATGTGGTGAAGAAAGATGCCATACACATCTTCAAATGCAGATATGAGAGAAGCCAATAGGCTCAGGAATCTGTTCAATAGTTGATTGACAGTTGAGAGGCTGTCAATCAAGATTCTAAAGAGCCTAAGCTCAATCCCAGCAAGCACAATTAGGTATATACAACCAAGCTGATAAGAAAAAAGCAAACATCTCAGAGCACTGGTGGCTTCATTCTTGACTCACAATCAGCAATCCTGGGTTCAGTTCCCTGGCAGACCAGAAATGGCTGTATAAGTTTCCTTTCACCTAATGTCACTGTTCATGTAGAAGTAAATAAGGTCCCAGGCATCAGGTAAATGTGGGGTTACAATTTGTAAGAATATAAACAATTAATTTATTAAAACAATTAAGTCTATACATTAATCGTTACTACTCAAGGCCATTTAAGACAGATTTAAAGTTTGATAACTTACCATTTTTGATCTTTTACTGTCCACTAGCGTCGGAGACACACTTCACTGTTGTTGTTGCTGCTGATTTGGGGGCGACGACGAAACTAGACATATGCACACTGCTGAACCGGAATTCCAGTATGAAAACAAAGCCAGACGGCAAAAGAAAACCTTTTGCCAAGTGGCGCTGCTCACCTGGCGTCACCCGAATACCCCAAGCAGTGCAGGCCCACACCACACACAGGGTAACAACCCCGGCAGAGTGAGAGCCAGGCGCCCTCTACGTCCAGAGGGAACACAGGAACCTCCAGGGCAAGCCGGGCCCCACCACCTCTCGCCCAAGCCGGCGCTAGACCCCTGCTCAACGCCAACAAGCCGGAAAACGCTAGAAAATCTTTCAACCAGCCCTTGGCGATATAGACACCAGGCGTTGCAACCATTTGGGCAGTTGAATATTACTGCCTTAAGGCAAAACGTAAACTAGTGGATAAGAAAAGTAAAATATTAACCAGCGACCTCTAGGCAGCCGCACAGCGAAATGCATAAACTTCCCTGTGACTTGTAAACAAAGATTCTGACGAGGATTCGAGGAAACGAACCTAAACCTAAGTTTAGCCTATATAAAAAAAATATTTTTATTTATTTATTTACAAAGTACAATGAGTATGCGAGATTACATAATTTATTTATTAATTTATATATACAAAAGTTCTTATATTCTTGTACAGCCACTAGCACGCATTTGTTTTTTTAAAGCTTAGGTATACACATCAATATGCTGCTACCTTATTCTGTATGAAAGATTACACAGCGTAGTTCAAAAACTAGCTATAAGTTCCTCTAATAATCCACTTCTCACCGGAAGGTTAGTCATACATGGAATCAGGGGGGAAAATACCAGCCTCAAAAATGTATTAACAGTCTCCGTGGTGTAGTGGTAAGACACTCGCCTGACGTTCCGCGAGCGCTTTGTCATGGGTTCGTATCCTGGCCGGGGAGGATTTACTGGGCGCAAATCCTTAACTGTAGCCTCTGCTTAAAGCACCAGTAAAATGTGTACTTGGTTGTAACAACGATTCTTCGCGGCGGGGATCGTATTCCAGGGACCTGCCCGAAACGCTACGTGTACTAGTGGCTGTACAAGAATGCAACAACTCTTGTATATATCTCAAAAAAAATTATTTGCTATTACTACCACAATTCATATTGTATTGTTCATGTGACGACTTATGCTGAATTTTGTAACTAGCTCATCAAGATTGTAACTTGCTTAGCTAAATGAATTGTGGGGTTCAGTCCCTGAGCCCATTATGTGCCTCTGTAACCCTTTCCACTACCGCCCACAAGATGGGTATGGGGTGCATAATAAACGAACTAAACTAAAACTGCCACAATTCAGTGATCGTATTATACTTTATTTGCTTCTATTATATGTTACTTTGCATTTTTATTTTTAGTTTTTAGTTTTTTACCATAATTATATATTTAGCAGATTTAATATTTTACTGCTCTGTAATTGCTAACCTTATTGTACCTTGACTCCATTGCATCCACATGCAAGCAGAGGAAAGGGTTACAGAGGCACATAATGGGCTCAGGGACTGAACTCCACAATTCATTTAGCTAAGCAAGTTACAATCTTGATGAGCTAGTTACAAAATTCATTATAAGTCGTCACATCAACAATGGGTTCGAGATCGACCTCAAGTACAGGTTCTAAATTAAGCAACTGACATATGTGGAGAGCTAGTGTCACAATTTATGTTTGTCCTGCACACCGCCCCCCATCCAGTGGGCAGCGGTGGATAGGTTACAATCACTTAGTTACTACCTACAGTTAGCAAACTGGGGATATTTGGCTAAAATTTCTGGTAGCAGATCATTTTGAATGAAATATTGACACATCGCTGGAACATTGCAAGCTGATATTGATCCTGAACAAAATCTACTGTCACAAATCTATAATAACTCCCATACAGATCTTCACCACTGCAGGTATTACACAGCACACCAGGCAAAAAACAAACTCCAAAATAACACTTGCTTATCAGTTTTAAACCAAAATATCAGATCATTTGGTAAACATTTTGATGATATAAATGCACTACTCACAGCCCTAGGTACTAAACTATCCATTATTTCAATGTTCATTATTTTAGCAGAAACATGGCTAAGTAAAGACCATACCCAACTTTACAACTTAGCTGGTTATAAAGCCATTCACAACTGTAGGCCTAACAAAAAAGGAGGTGGCACAGCTATATATTACCAATATACCTTCATCTGCAATAATGTCATTAGTGATAGAAATGACTACTGTGAATATATACCTTTGCTCAATTCTCGATTAAATCCCTTAAATCCTCCTTGACTATTGAAGCTATCTATAGATTTCCTAATACAAACATAGCTGCATTTTCAGATAATCTAAAGAATCTTATCATAAACAACAACCTCAACAAAAATCACATCATTCTGGGAGGGGACTTCAATATTGACCTATGTCAACAAAATAGCCCTCAAGTTGACTATTTCCTAAACAGCATGAATTTCTGATCAGGGGAAAAAAGACACCGACATAATGGAGGCTTATTTATTACGTAGTAGAAGTACAGTAAAATAATTTCTGCAGAACATGCAAATAATTAAGAATTAACAAATGTAACATATGTCTATGTCAAACTTAGTACTATCATTTAACTTAAAATGTAGTAGTAGTAGGCATCCATCAGTCTCAGGATGTACACCCATAGTAAGTAAGAGTAAGCTTAGCCTAGTGACATGGAAACGAATTCTGCAGAAACTTAATAGCTTATCTGGTACTAGGAGTAAGGCAGTGTAAATGTAATATAATTATATAACAGTATGTATAGTAGTCAGGACACAAGAGTAAATAGTTGACCAGACTACACACTAGAAGTTGAAGGGACGACGACGTTTCGGTCCGTCCTGGACCATTCTTAAGTCGATTGTGATGAGGAGGTAGAGACAGGCAAGAGAGAGCTGAGGAGGAAAGTAAGGTGTAGGGGATAGTAGTAATAATGAGAACTACAGAAGGCCTATTGGCCCATACGAGGCAGCTCCTATTATAACCACCGAATATGGAGATAGTAATAGGAAAAAGAAGAGGATAGCAAGGGAGTGTAGGAGAAGACAATGAACAGAAAAAAGGGAGAAGGGAGAAAGAAAAGGAAAGAGAAAGAAAGATAAATGGAAAGGGTAAGCTATGTTAAGTCACGTTTGTTAGAAAGATTAGAGCATTTGAGTATATACTGTGAAAGGGAAGAGTCCACAGCAACAAAGCCAGGACTCAAGTTCATGTTGGGTACATTGTGTATAAGAGCCGATTCTACAAGACGGCGTCTGTGTAGAGTAGAGGCAGGAAAGATTATTTTGGAGGAAGACCAATCAATGGGATGATTAGAATCCTCACATGGCAGAAGAGAGCATTGTTAGTGTCTGCAGACTTACCACTTCTCTTGTGTTCTTTAAGACTGTCATTCAGTGTACGGCCAGTTTCGCGAAAGTATTGGAGAGGACAAGATGAACAGGAAATAGAGAACTCTGCAGTTCTCATTATTACTACTATCCCCTACACCTTACTTTTTCTCCTCAGCTCTCTCTTGCCTATTTATTGCCTGTCTCTACCTCCTCATCCAGTGGCTGGATGTAGCAGGGGCGCGTCGGCCCAACCAGGAGTCTCCTCACCCACCAAGAAGAAAGTCTCCACTCCAGCCAAGAAGACACAAACGGTCGGGAAAACCAGTACTGTAAAAACCATGGACTCAATGATTCCACTATAACGGAAAAATGGATAATCTCAAAATTATACAATGGAATATTCAAGGATTCAAAAGCAAAGCACAAACACTCAGAGCAGTGCTTCTCAAGGATAGCATTGATATTGTTCTACTCCAAGAAACACTCACCAGGACTGGCAGATATATCAATATCCCAGGATATCAAGAATTCCAATGCCCTATGGCACAAGGTGGCACCAGAGGCATTTCACTTCTAGTAAGAAATCATATCAATGCCACGGCAATCACAGACCTGCCAACTGTGGCGAGAACGTCGAAATTATGGGAGTTAAGCTCACTATGAGGAACTCAACGCTGTCCATCTTCAATGTATACAAGAGCCAGAGAGAACATGACATGGATCTCTCAACAACTCTCAACTGTCAACCACCAAAACCTTAAATTACATCATTATGGAGTCAGAGGACACTCCCTGTAATACCTCAAATCCTACCTTACTGACAGGCTCCAGTATGTTTCTGTGAATAATACAATTTCTCCCACCCTACCCATCAACATTGGTGTTCCTCAGGGCAGCATACTTGGCCCTCTCCTCTTTCTCATCTACATTAATGACCTTCCAAATGCCTCCCAACACCTCAAACCAATTCTATTTGCTGACGACACAACCTTCATTTACTCCAGTCCTGACCCCCTTGCTCTAAATGCCACAGTAAATACTGAGCTTAATAAAGTCCATCTGTGGCTAACTGCCAACAAACTCACCCTTAACATTGACAAAACTTTCTATATTATGTTTGGCAATAAATCCTCTAATCAAATCAATCTCAAAATAAACAATACCCAAATTTGTAACAAATTAGATGGCAAATTCCTTGGCATTCTCATTGACCACAAGCTGAATTTCCAGGGGACACATTCTAAATATATCAAAAAAAGTTTCAAAAACTGTGGGCATTCTTTCTAAGATCAGATATTATGTACCACGCCCTGCCCTGGTGACTCTCTATTACTCCTTTATCTATCCATATCTCAACTATGGTATTTGTGCTTGGGGCTCTGCTACCCAAAATCATTTACGTCCTCTAATTACTCAACACAAAGCTGTTATTAGGACAATATCCAACTCTGGCCCCAGACATCACTCGGTACCCCTACTCAAATCTCTGAAGATGTTAGACATTAAGTCACTGCACATTCTCTCATGTGTATTATACATATATAAAACGCTAAACTGTAATGCCAATCCTGACCTCAAAAGCTTCATAGAAGGTTGTAACAGAACCCATGAGCACCACACCAGATATAAATACAGTTTTGATATTCCTAGAGTACGATTTAATCAAACTAGAAATGCTCTACACATCAAGGGGCCCAGAATGTGGAATGACCTTCCCAACCATGTTAAAGACTGTAACTCTCTCAACCAGTTTAAGATAAAAACGAAGCTATACCTAATAAATTTCCTGTAACCTACCATACATTTCTATTGTCAACCAATGTCTGTTTTCTAAAGAGCGCTGTTTGTCGACAGAATTGTATTTGTGCTGCTTTTTCAGCTATGTTTTCATTTCTTGTTTTCATTTTACTCTTTATGCTCAATTAGTATTAAGCTTTAGTCATTTAAGTTTTTCATGCCCGAAACGCTTTGCGTAATAGCGGCTTTAGGCATTGTATGTACTAGCTCTATCTATAAGTCCACCAATCATTGTAAAAATTTCTTGCATGTATGTACCTTACCTAAATAAACATTTATTTATTTATTTATTTATTATTAACAATCTTTGAAATAGCAGTCACTACATCTACTATC